GAAGAGGAGAGGGTTTTTTTCTCCCTCCCCCCGTCGGGGCCAGAATCCTCGTGAGGGTCGTCGTTTTTTAGCCCTCCCAGGAGTCGAAAAGGACTCCCCTGACCACCCGCGGTGGGACCTCTCCAGGCCCAGGGGAGGGGGTAGGGGGAGGGGTAAACCCCTCCCCGAAGGGGAAGAAGGGGGGTTGAGAACAGAGAGAGCTCTCTAAACCACTCACGCCCAAAGGGCTGGTGGGATTAGACGCCGCTTTCGTCCTTTTTCTCCTCCTGCAGTCACCTTCCCTCTGCTGTTGCCGCGCTGATGGTTCGGTTTCCCGCACGTTTTTCTCCTTCTCTGCGTTCCCGATTCCCCATGTCCTCTTCGAGCCTGTAGCTGTCGCCCCTCGTTCTTGTATGGTTCTCCTGCGCATCATGCCATAGGCGCGTGTCCCAAGTAGCTTAGACATCAAGTGGATTGTCCATGCAAGTTTCGGCCAACTCCTCGTTTCCATTGGGACAAATGGGTTGGGTACGTCACAGGGTAATTTGATTTGAACGTGCACCCCCCTGGGTTCGCGCCGCCAGCCTGTGCACGGTCGAGGCCGCGCCTCCTCCCCGCGCGTCTCTTCGGGCAGGGCCCCTGCAGGTCGCCGACGGGGCGTCCGGCACCCGGGGTCCGCCCGGGAGAGCGCCTATAATCTGACAGTCGAGCGTCGAGGGAGGCGGGGAAGAGGAGCAGCAGCAGCAGGAGGAGGGTGCAATTCACAGCCCCGAGCCTGCCTCACTAGAGCCTACTTACGACAGATGGCCTCTAGAGGCCGTGCGTGATATAAGTTTCAGGCTCCAAAGGAGCCCCATGTATGTTAGTCAAGCGTTTCCCGGCGAATCGGGCCCCCTTTAGCCTCCAGACTGCAGCTAGCCTTGCTTAGTAGGCCCTCCGAGATCCCTCGAGATCCCCATTATAATATCCCAGAACAGGTTCATCCGAAACCGTTCTGGCTCAAGCCTTTGCAGCGTCTCAGCGACGCTGGACTTCTGGTGTGCGTCCGAGAGACGCAGGACAGCGAACTGCCCGCTGACAAACAGATCCTGTTCATCACCACAGTGCGATCAGCATCGCACCAGCACTGCCCTCAGATTCGACCCGAACGCCAACAGTACCCTCGGCACGTGTCAGGGGAGAGAAGAGAGTAGCATCAACAAGGATTACGATCAGGGCAGTGGTTCTAAGCGGGACCATTGCATGGTAGCGGAGCTCTCAAGCTCCACGGACAACAGATTCACGGATAGAAGTTCATCGTTTGAGTCATGACGAGGAATAACAATAACAACGATGACATCATACCGAAGTGGAACGGAGATCTCACCACGGTGGACGATTACGAGAGAGATGTCAAAGCTTACATCCGAGGCACCCGTCGAGATGAACGATATGTATGCGGCCCTCGTTTGTGGAGACGACTAGAAGGTCGAGCGCGACAAGCAGCCAAGGATGTGGACTGGGACCGCATTGAGAGAGACGACGGTGCAGCTGAGCTACTGCGACACATTCGCGCCAAGCTCGGTGCTCAGCCCATCCAGGATGCAGGCAAATATCTGGCCAGATGGATCTTCGATCTTCGTCGAGACACTGGAGAGCCAATGCCGAGCTACATCAGCAGAGACGATGAGGCCTACCACGACGTGGTCAAGGGTTTCGACACCGAGTATTTCAAGAAGCAGCGCACGGCTCGGCTGTCGGCAAGGTCAAAAGAATGGAACGCCCTCTACTCGGAGCTCAACTGGTTCCTGTACAAGATCGAGCAGGAGGGCCCGGAGGACGCCGCCGACAAGGCCAAGGAGTTGAACCACCAGCTCTGGAGCTTCATCCGGACAGGTCTTGAGGAGATCCCCGAGCATCCGGATTTCGGAACCGACTTCAAACAGGCGATTCCCCTTGACCAGCTGCGCGGATGGCTACTGCTGCAGAGATCAAGACTTTCCCCGACGGAGCGTGCGGCAGTTATCAGCGCAGTCAAAGGCAACTTCGACTACGACAGCATCGGCGAGCAGCTAAGAGTATCTTGGCCAGATGACGAGCTGACGAACAGAGATAAGAAGCACGGCAAGGACAACCATCGCCATCGCGAGCGAGGTCGGATCCACGCCGGCTGGGAGGAGAACAGCGAGGACGACGACGACTACAGCTACTACGATGGCGACCAGTCGGAGGCCACCTATGAGGACGCGGACGGCGACGAGGACGAAGGAGATCCCGAGGAGCCGCTCTGCAGCGCCCAGGAGATCGAGGAGGCCGAGACCGCGTTCGCCGCCCAGCAGCGCAGTTTCGAAGAAGCTCGGGATCTACTCCGACGAGTGAAGACCGCCAGGAAGTTCTACCCCGTGGATGAGAACAAGAAGCGAGAAGGACGCGGAGGACAGCGCAAGTTCCAGGGACCTCGGGCTGGATCCCGAGGCTCTGGATCATCGAAAGGACGAGGCCGAGGGAGCGGACAACGACGTGATGCACCACCCCGACGTGATGGAGATCGCTCCCAGGGCCGGCCGCCCCGTAAGGGACCCTGTCTGAAGTGTGGCGGCCATCACGAGACGAAGGATCATAAAGACCGCGCTTCCTCCACCAGCAGCAAAGATCGTGAACGACCCAAGCGAGGTTTCGGAGCCTACGTGTTCTTCGGCGCCGAGCAGGACGCCGAGATGGAGGCGAATCTCATCAGGAACGAGACCTCGCGCCTGGAGCTGGAGACGACGCTCAACAATAAGCCAGTGATCAAGAATCGACCGAAGCTTCCGAAGAAACAGCTCGAGAAGACGAAGTACCTAGAGGTGGAGAAATCCATCGAGAGGCAGGAGCAAGTCCATCATGTGAAGCTACCGAGCTGGCCAACCCTGGAGAAGCTAGACGACTGGATCCTCATGAGTGTGAAGCAGAGCTCCTCCAAGGGCTTCGGTATTCTGGACATCGGCGCGACCTCCAGCATTATGGGCATCGAGGCTGCCGAGAACCTACGCGATATCATCTATGAGCAGACGGGCAAGAACATCAAGATGGACGTTAGCCAGAAGAGTACCTTTATCTTTGGAGATGGCAACGCCAAGACCTGCACCGGCAAGGCAACCTTTCCTCTGAGGATCGCCGGTGTGGACGGCGAGCTCGAGATAAACATCCTCGACGCAGATGCCCCGCTCTTGATCGGAGTGGATGTTTTGAGCCGCCTAGGAGCTGTGATCGACTGCGAGGCACATTCTGTCTACTTCAAGAAGCTCGGGCGCCGAGCTGAACTGCTCGTCCTTCCGAGCGGTCATCTTGCACTGCCCCTTGTTCGACAAGCCGATTTTGGCTTCGTGGCATCTCTCGAGTAGGGGTCCACGCCCTCGACACCCGAGACTGCTACGGTGCCGGAGGGAAAACATGAAAAAGAGCAGCCGATACAAAGTGAGAACGATAAACCGTCTGCAGTGGTGCCCCAGGAGTTCCCCGACGAGGTCCCAGATAATGGAGCCCTACAGGCCTCATGTACATCATCATCATTTACGAGCACGGGGGCACCATCACCAATTACGCCTACAGCAACACCATCATCATTTACAAGTACGGGGACATCATTGCTTACGTCGGGGACATCATCAATGACGTCCGGGACATCATCCGCATCAGCCCCGGCTCCATCACCTACGGCATTATCGGAGTTATCTCCAGAGGCCTTCCCTGAGATCCCAGAGTTTCCAGAGCTCCAAACAGAAACATCCCCGTCTCCCAGAGCCATTTTTGGTGCGAACGATTCGAGCTCAGAGCTCCGATTTCAGCAACCAGTAATACTTCCATATTCGAGCCCTGAGCTCCGACAACATCCAGTTGGCCCTACATATTCGCATGAGCCTCAACCGCGAGGCGAAATGTCGCAAAGCAGAGAGCCAGCAGATCAAGCTGGAGAACGAGGAGATGGACGGCCCTTGGGAGCAGGTGGATGTTCGGGCCCCGCTACGGGACTCGGGATCATCGGCGGCGACCTCCACGTCGACGCCGGCACGGCCTACACTACAACGGATGCAGCCGCAGGGGCGACTAATCGCTCATCAGGACGCGAGGGGCCACATCTTCTACACGATCGAGGGCTCGGAGCAGGACTACAGCACGAAGCGGATGACGGACACCTTCCTGCAGGAGCACCTACCGAACTGGGAGATGTGGTCCAGCAAGCTTCTCCAGCAGTGGACGCAGTGCCGTCGCTGGGGACGAATCATCCAGAAGGTCTTCATCAAGACGATCGATCGTGTGAACTGGAGGCTGGACAGCCTCGGACTACCTGTGCAGTTGCTACCCGAGAGGTACCCGACCTGGCCGGCAGACATCGAGCATCGTGCGAAGATCGAGCCGCGCCAGCCGTGCACGGAGCCGAAGCAGCGCCCCCTGTCCCAGAAGTCAGCAGCCTCAGCAGCCGCGCGCGAGCAGAATCAAGAGCTGCGAGCCACCATCGAGACCGCAAAGTTAGATTTCTTGACCAAGTTTGCGGAGGTGGATGCGTTTGCAGCGCTGAGCTCGGAGCAGATCCACGAGCAGCTCAGCATGGTTACGTTGGTCAATCACCTCAAGCCGCTGTGCAAGATGTGGGGACTGACCCAGACTGGCAAGAAGGAGGAGGTGATCGACAAGATCATCGCGTACATCATCGAGCAGCGCGGCACGGCGGCAGCGACTATCCAGATCAAGAAGGAGACGGAGACCAAGAAGATGGAGACGACGGCAATGCCCGTGGGCCCGGCGATCTCAGCTCACTACACTCAGATGTGCCAGCACCCGGACTGCAAGCTACGCCGATGCATCGCCAAGAACGAGCCGATCGTGAAGATGAGGCTCTACGGTTGGTGCCACCAGGCGTGCGCGGTCAGGACGAAGGCCTGAGTGAGATTCAGGCTGAGAGGTCTCGGTGGCGCGGCGACGAGAGCAGGCCGCTGAAGGGCCACCAGCGCCAGGCGACACGGGCAGCTACACATACGACGAGGTCGGCCATTTTCGGAGCCATGTGCGCCCTCGCAACCTTCGGCCGCCTGACGATGGTCGAAGCGTGCACCCACGAGGACTCGAATCTCGGGAAGGTGTGCGACGAGAAGGGCTACCACTACGAGCGGCTCGGCCTCTTCAACGAGAACGACCTCAGCAAGCCGCAGGGCTACCATAAGGCGAAGTTCCTGCTAGACGAGAAGCGCCCGGAGCTCTTCGTCAGTACACCACCCTGCGGTCCATGGTCGATAATGCAGAACGTCAACCAGCGCAACGATCAACAGAAGGAGAACCTTCGCAGGAAGCGGCTCAAGAGCCAGCGGATCTTCGAGAACAACAAGAGGCTCATCGAGCACCAGGTGCTCAACCTGAACGGCTCGGCCCTCGCCGAGCAGCCCCACAACAGTCGTTCGTGGCAGAAGACCTGCTGGAAGGATCTCCACAAGATCCTACCGTACGAGGTGATCGTGGATGGCTGCGCCTGCGGACTACGAGCCCCTGACACGGGCGAGCTCATGAAGAAGCGCTGGAAGTTCTTGACGAATGACAGGAGGATCTGGGTAGCTCTACAACCTCTACAGTGCCGTGGAGGACACTACCACGAGGAGATAGAGAGCAGCTTGAGGACCGAGGCCTCGGGCTCCTACCCCAAGATGCTGTGCCGCCGGATCCTCAGGGCTCTGACCAAGAGCCAGAACCAGAACTACTTCGAGGACGAGGTTGTGAACTGCCTCTGCATGGCAGCTACCCAGCAGCCACCGACAGAGCCTACGCCAGAGGAGGACGAGCCGACTCTCCCACCACGAGACGGCAAGGAAGCGCACAACCTCACCAACGAGACGGTCAAGAAGCTCGAGAGCTACATCAGATTGGTTCATACCAACCTCGGACACCTACCTCGAGCTCATCTACTACGATACCTTCGCGACCGTGGCGCCCGGCCAGAGGTGCTACGTTTGGCCAGAACCTTCAAGTGCGACATCTGTGACGCACATCGACCACCTACTAAGCGGCCACCAGCCTCATCAGCAGAGCAGCCCCAAAACGGTCACGAGGTGCTTTTTGACGCTTTCTCGTGGATCCGTCGCAGCACGAACACGAACGTGATGGCGCTGGCGATACTCGACGCCGGCTCGGACATCCTCTACGTGCGGCTGATCGACGAGAAGCCGATCCCGGGTACTACCCGGCAAGTTCGTGCAGGCGACCTTCGGCATATCTTTGCTACAAAATGGTTCCCCTGGATGGGACGCCCGAAGGTCATGCGCTACGACCCTGCCGGCAGCGCCATCTCCGACGAGTTCCGCGAGTGGATCGAGAGCCAGGGAGTCTACTGTCTCCCATGCGCGGCCGACGCCCACTGGCAGATCGGCAAGATCGAGCGTGCCATTGAAGCCTTCAAGGAGGCCCTCGACGCTTTCGACGAGATGGTCTCAGCCGAAGTACCCACCAGCGAGATGTTCGGACTCCAGACGGCGGCCAGGAACGACCTGATCAGGATCGACGGGTTCAGCCCGCTGCAGCGCTATGCGGGACGGACGCCGACTGGGACGACAGTCAATCTGTCGGACGAGCCGAACAACCTGCCGCTCATCAGTGCCGAGCTGCAGGACGGTACCTTCAGCAGGGACGCCCAGGTACGACGAATGGCGCGGCTGGCTCACATCCAGACCGAGAACTCTGACCGAGTCAAGCGAGCGGAGGCCGCGCGCTTCAGGTCCTTCAAGAAGTACGAGACGGGCGATCTGGTTTTCGTCTACCGACGGCTCCCACCAGGGGCCTGGCGCAAGAAGGGACAGCCTCGCTCAATGCCTGGGCGAGGACGCTGGTACGGACCTGGACGAGTACTTTGTCACGAGCCAGCGAGCTCGGGACACCGACCTGGTCTACCTGGGACGGTGGTCAATATCACACTGGCTGGCCGCCTCTACCGAGTTGCTCCAGAACAACTTCGACCTGCCACGCCTTCTGAGGAGGCGATGGACTCCCTACGCTCGCGCCGCGAGCAGCCGGGGACCTGGACCTTCGGCGATGTCCAGAAGCAGCTCGACACGAATGAAGTGATCGACTTATCGAACGAGCCCCCGCCCACTGGCGAGGATTTGGCCGCTGATGACGGTGAATCGGTCAGCGCCCGCACCTTCGAGAGCAACGCGAGCGGACCCTGGGCCATTTCTGAAGACGATGATCGTCCTGTACCACAAGGAGATCCTCGTAGTCTTGACCCAGGAGGCGGCGGAGGCGGCGGAGGTGGTGGAGCCTTGGCGGCGCCACCAGGACTGGAAGAGCGACCTCTACCTGGACCGCGACCTCCCAGACGTATGAGGAAGAAGGGTAATCCCTGGAACGAGGCAACCGAGGTCCAGGAACCTCTCATCCAGCCAGCTCAGCCAGAAGCTCCCCCAGGCATTCCACAGGAAGGCGGCCACGAAGCTGGACTACCCGAGGCAGCTGAGCAGCCCATCGAGGAGGAGATCGTCATGGAAGCCCCTCCCGGCGACGACCAGGAGGAGCGCGCGTCGCAGCGGCCCATCGTGGCGGAGACTGACGATGACCTCGACGATATCTCAGCGCCCGACGTGAACGATAAGCGCCGGATCCGAGAGCCCGGCACAACCGAGCCCCCGGCTAAGAAGCAGCGGGTCAACGCTGCGACCCAGGAGGCCTTCTCCTACTACCTGCAGGAGGGCAACTTCTACAGCGACTATGCCTACAGTGTCCAGCAGTACGACGATATGAAGGAGAACGACGAACTTATCGTGCTGGACATCCCTGTCAGCAACGAGCATGCGTTCATGGCCTACATGGACGATCCCAGCAACTTCGTGGCATCGCAGGCCCGCAAGGGCCGAGTGGAGGTCTCATTTAAGAAGGCGACGCCTGAGGAGAAGAAGCTGCTACTCGAGGCCCAGCAGAAGGAGTGCACCTCAGTCCTCAGCACGAAGGCCGTCAGGATCCTCAGCCGACAGGGGATCGACCCGGCGCGCCTGCTGCGCTGTCGCTTCGTGCTGACCTGGAAGAAGGATGACCAGGGGAACGTACTACGAGGCAAAGCCAGACTGGTCGTGCTCGGTTTCAGCGACCCCGACCTGCTGCACCTACGGACAGAATCACCCGTTGCCTCCAGACGTGCACGTCAACTTCTACTGGCCATGGCAGCCAGACACAAGTGGAAACTGGAGAAGGCCGATGCAGTGACCGCCTTTCTCCAGGGCGAGACGGACGAGGAGAAGAGGAAGATCTACGCGGACCCGCCCAAGGACGTGCGTCAGGCCTTCGGCATGAAAGACGACGAGGTCCTGCAGTTCCTCAAGCCTATGTACGGATTTGTACATGCTCCTCGCAAATGGTGGCTCCATTTCAAGGACACGCTCAAGACGCTGCAGCTGGAAGTGATACAGTGCGAGCCGTGCGTCTGGGTCATTCGAGACGGCACGAAGCTGGTTGGCATGGTTATCCTACACGTCGACGACATGATGATCGCCGGCGACCATCACAACTCGGCATTCCTCAAGAAACGACAGCAGATACAACAGGCCTTCGAGTGGACACCTTGGGAGAGCCGAGCGTTTGTGCAGTGCGGCATCAGTATTCGACAGAATGAGGACTACACCTGCAGTCTCGCACAGGACAGCTACAGCCTGAACGTGGAGCCCATCAAGATACGACGTGGACGCAAGCCCACGGAAGGAGTTTCAGACAAAGAGAGATCAGATCTACGAGGCCGACTTGGTACAGTCGGATGGCGAGCTCAGCAGTCGGCCCCGTGGCTCAGTGCAGAAGTCTCTCTACTCCAAGCGGAGATACCTACGGCGACGGCCTCTACCATCCAGAAGATCAACAAGCTGATCCGCACCATGAATGACACTGCCGACGTAGTCATGCTCATCCCGGCCATCGAGCAGATCGCTGTGGTTGGCTGGGGCGATGCTGCCTGGGCCGCTCGCATTACTGGCGAGTCCCAGGGTGGCGAGATGATCGTGCTGGCACCACTGTCTTTCCTGAGTGGCTCGACAGAGACGGTAGCGCTTATCTCATGGAGATCATGCAAGCTACCGCGAGTGGCCAGAAGCAGTACGAGTGCGGAGGTTCAAATGATGACAGAGACCCTCGACGAGATCAGCTACGTGCGCCTGTTCATCTACGAGTTAGAGTGCGGCCAAGTGGACTACACCAACAAGCAACACGTGAACGACGCCATCTCATCCTGCCCTGGCGTACTGGTCACAGACGGTAAGTCGGGCTACGACGCGATCGAGAAGAGCGAGTCAGCTGGTCTCGGCCTACGTGACAAGCGGACGAGCATCGAGTGTCTAGGCATTCGACAGCAGAAGGAGCAGACGGCCCTCCAGATACGCTGGGTCCACAGCGATGCCATGCTAGCCGACGGCCTCACCAAGGATCGAGCCGCCAAGGTCTTGCTAGAGTTCTTCCGGTCAGGTCAGCGCTGGAGACTCGTGGACGACCCCCTGCACCGCAGTGCCAGGAAGCGCAAGACCGAGGGCATGGACAGGCTGGACCACGGCAAGCCGTTATCAGCAGACGACGATGAAGCTATGCTGGAGGCCCTGATCTACTTCGCTCGCGACAATCCCTACGAGCAGGAGACCCCTGCCGGAGATCTAGCCCTTTGGGGCACTGTGAAGCCTCTCACGCGCTCTGTGCTTTCTGTGAATTCAGTGGCCAGAGGCAGGTCTCGATGCCGTAACATCGATCTTTAGCTTTTGGGCATGCAATTCACAGCCCCGAGCCTGCCTCACTAGAGCCTACTTACGACAGATGGCCTCTAGAGGCCGTGCGTGATATAAGCTTCAGGCTCCAAAGGAGCCCCATGTATGTTAGCCAAGCGTTTCCCGGCGAATCGGGCCCCCTTTAGCCTCCAGACTGCAGCTAGCCTTGCTTAGTAGGCCCTCCGAGATCCCTCGAGATCCCCATTATAATATCCCAGAACAGGTTCATCCGAAACCGTTCTGGCTCAAGCCTTTGCAGCGTCTCAGCGACGCTGGACTTCTGGTGTGCGTCCGAGAGACGCAGGACAGCGAACTGCCCGCTGACAAACAGATCCTGTTCATCACCACAGTGCGATCAGCATCGCACCAGCACTGCCCTCAGATTCGACCCGAACGCCAACAGTACCCTCGGCACGTGTCAGGGGAGAGAAGAGAGTTGCATCAACAAGGATTACGATCAGGGCAGTGGTTCTAAGCGGGACCATTGCAGAGGGGGGAGGTGGTGGAGAGGAGGAGGAGGAGGAGGAGGAGGAGGAGGAGGAGGAGGAGGAGGAGGAGGAGGAGGAGGAGGAGGAGGAGAGGGTGGACGACGACGACGACGAGGGGAGAAGAAGGGGACAGAGGAGGAGGACGAGGACAGGGAAGAGGGAGGAGGGGGGGGGAGGTGCAGGGGATGGAGAAGAAGAGGGGGGCGAGGTGGAGGAGTGCGGCGAGGGGGGAAAGGGGGAAGCAGGATTCCCTAATTACCTCCCCCCCCCTTCCGAGACTCTGCGGGGCAGGTCCTGGAGCGCAAAGCCTCGTCCTTCCTGCGATCATTCTATTCTCGGCCTCGCCCCGCCGTGTCCTTCTCGCGTCGCCGCGACAACGGTCGGGTGTTGCCCCCTTCCGTCTCAAATTCTCGGTGAGGCGGTCATTCATCGATGGTCCATCTCTTCCTCGTCCTCCCCCCCTCCATCCACCCACCTCCCCAGTGAGGAGGAGACGGGACAGGAGAAGGGACATGAGGGAGGAGGAGGAGGAGGAGGAGGAGGGGAAGGAGTCTGAGAAGGACTGGGACGGGGGTGGAGCAGGGAGCGGAGAAGGGGGGAAGATAATAGAGATTAGGAGAGACTGCAGCTGGCGACCGCCAGCCGTCGAGGCAGTCTTCAGCGCAGCGTACCACAGCGGCGACTTCACTTCCTCGCAGATGTGCAAGGGCGTGCGCCTGAAGCGGGCCCGCAAAAGTACGAGTCAACTAAGCTATGGCTTCAAAGCCACAGTCGCGCTCAGCATGGACCACAATGCCGGCTGTGAGGACGCCAACGAGTGGACGGTGAAGGCAATATTGTCCGACGTTATGAAGGCGGGTGGTTATGCCGCAACAGGGGGGATGACGGTATGATCAGTTCGGGCCGCGAACAGCGTTTTCGGAATTGAGGCCCATGCAGAGCAGCCAGGGGACGGCAACACAGAGCATCCCGACTCACACGCGGAGCGTGGCTTTCAAAAGCGAGACGTTCTTCGAACAGGTCCGCTCCCTTGGGGTCGAAAACACCATGCCTTGAAATCGGCGGTCTAGTCTAGGTTGTTAGGGCAGAGTTCGGCACATGTGAGATGTGGGTGTCTTTTTCTGCTCGCGGGAGGGATTCCAATAGGGATTCGTTTGAAACGCGAAAATTCCAATAGGCAGGGTGCAACCGACGCGTTGGAGCAAGGGCATCTTGGTTAAGTTCGGCAAGAGCACAGGATTCATGAATTCCACCCCGTGGTTGCTCCTCGGGCGCTCTCCGTGAATGTCAAACAGGGGCGCACTGGTCAGCGCACCTCTGTAAGCCTGACTCGCTGCGAACATTGGCAGGCAAGCAAGCAAAAGCAAGCACGGAAGCAATCATGCAGGCAATCAGTGACTCTAGTTGTACGTTGTTTTCTATGTGTAAAGATATATGTGTGTGTATGTATATATATATATATACATATGTATGTATGTATGTATGTATATATATATATACACATACATATACACATGTATCCCCGTGCACGAGGCCAGGGCGCCCGGGGCGGCGACCTCGACGGCGCATGGGGGGACCGGGGCCTCTGGGCCCGCCCCCCCCGAGACAGCCCCTGACAGCTCCGAAACGCCACCAGAGGGTCCCAGGAGGTTTCCAAACGTCCAAGAGAGCCCAGAATCCCCGAATCGTCGCTCCAAGACGCCGAAGATGGCACCAAGACAGCCTCCGAGAGCCCCCACGACGGCCCAAGAGTTCCCCAAGAGGACTCCCAAGAGCGCCTCCAGAAGCAAAAATGGCCCCATTCCCTTCGAAGAACGTACCTTTTACGATGTTCACCGCTTCGGCGTCGACCGCGTCGAAGACGGCCCCATGAGCCCACAACATCGCCCCAAGACAACCAAAGAGAGTTCCAAGAGGCCTTCAAGACAGCTCCAGAGGAGCCCTCGACTATCCAGGAGGCTCCCAAGATGGTCCCAGAGGGCACCGGTTAGGGGGGCCTCTGGGGCCCACCCGAGACAGCCCCAGACAGCCCCGAAACGCCACCCGAGAGTCCAGGAGGTCTCCAAACGTCCAAGAGGGCCCAGAATCCCCGAACTGTCGCTCCAAGACGCCGGAAATGGGCTCCAAGGCGGCCTCCCAGAGCCCCCACGGCGGCCCAAGAGTCCCCAAAGAGGACTCCCAAGAGCGCCTCCAGAAGCAAAAATGGCCCCATTGAATGGGGCCATTTTTGCTTCTGGAGGGCATTCCCTTCGAAGGGAATGCCCTCCAGAAGGGAATGGCATTCCCTTCGAAGAACGTACCTTTTACGATGTTCACCGCTTCGGCGTCGACCGCGTCGAAGACGGCCCCAGGAGCCGACAAGATCGCCCCAAGACGGCCAAAGGGAGTTCAAGAGGACTCCAAGACGGCTCAAGAGGGGCCCTCGACTGCCCAGGGGGCCCCCAAGACGGGCCCAGAGGGCCCCGGGACAGCTTCCCCACACAGCCCCCAGGGGCACCCCACCCGACATTTCGAGCCTTCCTCACCAAAAAGCGCCCCGGAGACCCCAAGAAACCTGCAAGAGCCTCCGAACAAAAAACACTAGCGGGTCCCAGGGGGCCGCCAGGAAGCCCCAAGGCTCCCAAGAGCCCCCTCCCCAGACGCCCTGAGGTACTCTGGCCGATCCCGAAGCTTCCGGAGCATCCTGACGCCCATAACAGTCCCCAGGACCGTCAAACATTTAGGACGAAATTTTGGACGCTTCGCGTATCCCCACCAGCTATCCCCTCCAAGTGGTGCAGGTCCCAGGCCTGCCGGGCTCGCCGTGGTTGTGCCTTTGTTTCTTCAGTTGAAATAGGGCCCGTTAGGCCACGAAGGAATGCGGTTCGACATTATCACCCTTCCCACCTAAAATAGGGCCCGTTCGGCCAAAGGTTTCGCTTTCTCGTTCTTACACAGCATGCAGTGGTCGTTTGCCACACCTGCTTTGGACCTCCGACATCGCGAATGTACGGTGGCTTGGGCGGGGGCCTCCGACGGCGGCCCCCGCTTGTATCACCCTAAACGCGACTCCCACAGCACTCGCTGTGGCCAACGTCCGACTTGCAGGCAGTGCTCCTTCCCTGGTGCCACTCCCTGCCCTGCTCCCGTTGCTCCCTGCCCTCGGGACAAGGACAGCGGGCTGCTGACAATACTGGCTCGTGGATCACCGCTGGGGCCGTGGTCCACGTGTCCACCGGTTGTTTCACCCGAGACGCGTCTGCTGCAGTCCTTGCTGTGGCCGTCGCTTGACTTGCAGGCAGTGCTCCTTCCCTGGTACCACTCCCTGCCCAGCCCCCACTGCCCCCCGCCCTTGGGAACTCGGGCAGTGGCCTGCTGACAATACTGGCTCGTGGGCTACCGCTGGGGCTGTGGTCCACCTGTCCCCCATCGGCCTCTGGCCTGCTGTAGTTGTTTTCACTCCTGGCGCGTCCCTTCCCCGCGCCTTCGGGTGGACCGCCGGGTCGGGGCGTCCCCCCCCTCGGCTGGGCCCCCGTTCTCCCCGCCGTCCAGTGGTGTCGTCCCCCACCGTACTGGCGTCCTGCTTTTCCGCCCAAGTCGCGGTTTCTCCCCCCCTCGGCGGGGCCCACGGCCGTCTGTGGCTCAGCCTTGACTTTCCGTGATCCTGCCCCGCTGTGGTTGCCACCCTGGTTTCAGTCCCGGGTCCTCCCCGTGGTGTCGGTGCTCGCCTGTCGCCACTTCTGGTGTGCTGACTACGGGCTCGTGACCCGCCCCTCTTCCGGGCTCTTGGTGTGCGCCTTTGCTGGCGCCACTTCATGCACTTGTTCGTGGTGGCCCGCGCCATTTTGGCCGCGCGGCAGCTTGGCTGCTTCTCGTGCTCGCGCGTTCTGCTGCCGTCGGGCCCTGCGGCTTCGGCCACCCTGGTCCCTCACAGCCTGCCAACGCTCACGCCCACACCGGGCACCAATTCGACGTCCGACTGTCGGTCGTCTTGGCTGCGGCCACCCTGGTGCTCTCGCAGTTGTCCGGGGCCTTGCGCCCTTGCATGAATTACTCGGCTTTGTCCCTGGTCATCGTTCTTCCCGGCTGCCTGACGCTCCCGACGCCTTGCATATTTGCACGCTGGCAGTACTACTCAGTTTCAGCCAGCCCCCTCCACTCGCCGGTCCGCCGCTGAGGTGCTGCGCGAGGCTCCGCCCAGCCGCTTTAAATGAGGCTGCGCCCCGTTGCTTTAGGTGAATTTGTCGTTGCGTGCCCCGCTTTGACTGGACTCGCCGCTGGCGCGCTCGCCTGCGGCCGCCAGCCCGTCCAGAAATGAGTCCGAGGGGAGTGGAGGTTCTAAGGGAAGCGGGGGAGCATGCAGAAGAACAATGTGCGGGGTGAGCCGCCAGATACCCCAAGAGGGGGAGGATGTAGGAGGAGCCGTCGGAGCAGGAGGAGGAGGAGGGGGAAGGGGAGGAGGGGGAGGAGGAGGAGGAGGAGGAGGAGGAGGAGGAGGAGATGGAGGACTGCGAGGACGAGGAGGACGAGAAGGAGACAATGGAGGAGGAGGAGGAGGAGGAGGAGGAGGGGGAGGGGGAGGAGGGAGGAGGAAGAAAAAGAGGAGGAGGAGGAGGAGGAGGAGGAGGAGGAGGAGGAGGAGGAGGAGGGTAATGGCGTGCTTGGGGGCCTCTTGGGCCGTCTTTGGGGCCTCTTGGCGGTCCCGGGGGCCTCTTGCGTATATCGGGGAGCCTCTTGGGGGCTCTTAGGGGCCTCTTGGAGGCCTCTTGGGGGCCTCTTGGGGCCTCTTGGGGCCCTCTTGGGGCGCTCTTGGGGCGCTCTTGGGAGCCTTCGGGGCGCTCTTGGGGCCATCTTGGAGGAGATCAATCAAAGAAGGGGGGTCGTATATTAGCGCTGCCCCTCTAGAGTGCCTCGAATCGCCTTTTGGGCCCCCCCAAGAGGCCAAAACCCTTCCCAAACCGAAAGAAAATACATGTTTTGAGCTTTTTCGCTTTTTCGCTCTTGGAGCCGTCTTGGGCCATCTTGGGGGCCTCTTGTGGCCTATTGGGGGTCTCTTGGGGGCCTCTTGGAGGCCTCTTGGGGGCCTCTTGGGGCTTCTTGGGGCCCTCTTGGGGCGCTCTTGGGGCGATCTTGGGAGCCTTCGGGGCGCTCTTGGGGCCATCTTGGAGGAGATCTATCAAAGAAGGGGGGGTCGTACCCTGCCCCTCTAGAGTGCCTCGAATCGCCTCTTGGGCCCCCCCAAGGGGCCAAAACCGTTCCAAAACCGAAAGAAGGTCAATGTTTTGTGCTTTTTCGCTTTTTCGCTCTTGGAGCCGTGTTGGGCCATCTTGGGAGCCTCTTGGGGCCTCTTGGGGGTCTCTTGGGGGCCTCTTGGAGGCCTCTTGGGGGCCTCTTGGGGCCTCTTGGGGCCCTCTTGGGGCGCTCTTGGGGCGCTCTTGGGAGCCTTCGGGGCGCTCTTGGGGTCATCTTGGAGGAGATCTATCAAAGAAGGGGGGGTCGTATATTAGCTTTGCCCCTCTAGAGTGCCTCGAATCGCCTTTTGGGCCCCCCCAAGAGGCCAAAATCCTTCCCGAACCGTCGGAAAATTCATGTGTTGTGCTTTTTCGCTTTTTCGCTCTTGGAGCCGCCTTGGGCCATCTTGGACGTCCCAACGACCCGCGGAACCCCTCGTCCAGGTCGGTGGGGAGGGGTAAGGGGAGGGGTAAACCCCTCCCCGAGGGGAAAGAAGGGGGTTGGCAGAGGAAACGCTCGAGACCACCTACGCCCTAAAGGGCTGGTGAGATTCCGGGCCTATGGAAGTTGCCCGGATCTCGGGGCCACTCCAGTGGCCCCGCATGGAACAAAAAAACACGATATCGGAACTCTTGTTCAGGAT